GTGTGTAATGTGAGTTTACAATTAGATTGTAGATCAGCATGCAAATTACAAAATTAAAATTAAAGAAACATTTCCAGAAAAAAAAATTTGCATATGCATCATTTGTAAAGAATATAAACCAAATAGCATTTTTAATCTTTCTTTAATGATCTTAACAGATTGAAAATACTTCATTGACGGTTAAAGATTCTTTTAATTACTACACTATTTTAAATTCTAACTACCCAATTTTGCCATAAATAAAATAAAATCCACAGTATTGTCATTACTGGACTGCGGATTTTATTTATTCGTGACAGAAACGATTAACCAAATCAACAGAACCATAAAAGAGAATTAATAACATATATAGAGAATCGGTGTTTAGCGATAATTAATTGAAGATTGATATATGATAATTTTGCCAACGCAATTCCCAAAATAGCATATCAGACACTTTCGGATTCAATAAAAGTTTATCGACCAAGGTCGCACGATTCTGCTGCATCGCAGTAAGATCGCATAACAAAGTATTCTAAACCAACACAGTCTCGAACGGATGGTAGTCCATTGTAAATAAGAATCCTAATCATCTGGTATCGTGATTTCTGGTATGTCGGTGTGGCAATGTGCCACGAACGCGTGCGTATGTATACACCTATCTGTACGCATCTCGTCACGTATACAACTTACAAATCTCACGTGGTATTCGAGTCAAATTTAAATACTCCCGTGCAATGTCCTGAAGCGTTTCAACCAAAATAACCTGACTTTTTATTGTCAACGTGACATAGAAGGCGCGCGGTGTCTGATCAAATTGTGAACAATACGACGTATATTCGTAATAACATTGTCATTCGATGAATCAACGAAATTGAAGTATTAAAATCATCAGCTAAGCTTGACGCGCGTGCGCGCGCACAACACACGCGATGGAATCTAGAAATTATATTTAACCTTTAACTGGTACGATGATTTTCACAAAAGTGACCAGCGTACCTGGGTCATGGCAGACCCCAAAATAAAAAGTGCAAAACAATGTGTTAACCTCTAATTCTAGATAAATCATCCATTGTGTTTTACTCTTAGTTAGTGTGTAACATGATGAAAACGCAGAAAATTAAAGTTATACTACAAAATAAAATTGAAATACCATATTAGGGTCACTAGTGACCCCAGCATGCCAGGTAAGGATTACAATGATTAAAGGGTTAAATATAGTTATTTGAAATACTCATTTGACTTGACAGGTATGTTTAACATATATTTCAATTTTTCGATTAAAAATCTTCTTTACAACTTGTTAGTTACGGATATATTTTGATATTTATAATTATGTTTGTGCATCCTAATATAGAGTATTAATTGAAATGATTTTATCTCATGTAATTACTTAGTAATATATGTGCATCCTATAAAAGAACAAATTTTAATCAGTAATTCCGATTCGTGTGTAATAAATAGACATTTTCGAATATTTTTGCATATTCAACTGAGAGAGAAAACAATTTTTAAACACTATAAATGAAAGTGTCTTAATTACAATTTCTAATAACTTATCAATAATTTTTATTAGAATTACAACCAGTTCTGCCTGTAACATAAACGTGTACGCTTAATTAAAAAGGAACAATGTCAGCGTACTACCAAATTAATTTGAATACGTAGATCAAAATTATTTTACAGAAAATGTTGAATCGTATCAATTAATGCGTAAAAGATATATAATTCGATGTAAAAAGTGATGGTGACCTTAAAATCTTCAGAACTTCTTCAGCTGACTGTAAATTATTGCCGTCAAGTCAATAAAAAATTTTAGAATAAAGTTTCTCGAAAAATAACGGACATCATGTTCGCATTTTATCATGAATGCGTAATAAATATGCAAGTGTAAATTATAAACAACTATACGGACATACGAGAAGTCATTAAATAAATAACAACAAATAACAAGAACAAAATATGAATAAAATCAAAGATATACATTATAATTTTATTTTCTTTATATTTTGTTTAAATACAACACTTTTATCAAATTTCTCTTTGAAAAGTGTGTGAGTTATTGTAATTATTATACTGCAGATCTTTATGGATTTATGGCTTGTGGAAATTTAAAAAATACAATGAAACATAGAAATTAACAAGGTCTAATAGCATTTTTATTTTATTCTTTTACTTGATGAAAAAAACTTTTCCGTAATTTTCATTTTTATACATCAATGTATAATAATCAACTAAAGGAATCAAACAAAAATGCTATTAGACCTTGTCAATTTATACGTTTCCTTGTATTTTTTAAATTTTCACAAGCCATAAATGCATAAAGTTTTTTAGTTTAATAATTACAGTAACTCAAATACTTTTCAAAGAGATTATACCAGCTAATTTGTTGAGAGCTAGACGCGATGAAGAATTTGGAGAATCAAGGGGACAACTAAGTATGTATAATGACGCATAATACAGATTTCCACGTCGTAATCTGTATCATCGTGTATAACGTTTTATGTTCGCAAGGCTTGTTAAACGAGTTTAACATGTCGAAACATTAATCTCCACGTGATTTTAACTACACTGTCGTTGAGCGACGCCGATGAATTTATTTCTCTAGAACTTAAAAATAAATAATCCGACGGACAACGGATAAAAATAAGTTGTCTATTTTCATGCGTCGGGCAAATTTGTACGTTAACCCGTTTCGTTGTTTGTTGACGCGAGCTGACAAAAATTTCTACGTCGTTTCGTTTCTCTAGAAAAAGGATTTTCCTAGGAAGACGATTTGAAATATTTTAGACATCTTCCAGGCGAAATGAAATATTAAATTGAATATTTGAATATATGAAAATATACATTTTTCAAATTCTGAACTCGATGAAGAATAACACATCGCAAACATTTAATACATCTTTATTGCAAACAGTCAGTCATGTGACTTCATTGCAAATAATCATCAGATATTTATTGCAGAAAACATTTAACAAATATTTATTTAGGAATACAATATATAGCATAAAAAACAATTAAATAACGCCAGATATGATTTTGTTACAAACATTTAGCAAATATTTATTACAGATATATTTATTACAATATCTGTTACAAACAACCGTGACATAACCTTGACAAGATTGCAAACAATTAACAAATATTTATTGCGGAAAGTCAATATACATATAATATAGAATATAATCGTGTGAAGCTTTTTTTACCTGCTACACTGAGGCCCTACCACACGCAGAAGGAATATATTCAGGGTGAGTCATATAATCTGCACATCCCATATAACTTCTAAATTATGCATCTAATACAAAAGTTAAGCAAGTCGCGAATTTTGTGTATTCATTTCATCGTATGCTTACATTGAAAGAAAAGTTGGACAAAATAAAGTATGCTCAATATTCAGTTTTAGAAATAATATATATATTCTTCAAGGTATTTTCATTGATACTAGTACTAAAATTATTGATAATAATTTCCAGAGTGCTAAATGCTCGCTCCACATTGTCTTGTATAGTAGGAACATTGTGAGAACTGCTACTAGCTAGTTGACTTAGAAATGGGTTTTTAAGTCTCCAATTAATTCAATATTCTAATATGCTAACATTGAAATCAGCTCTTTAGTGTCCCATCGAAAAAGCAAAATGGTAAAAAATGAATTGTTGTCATATGTGCTCCTATTTATATTAAATAATTTTTCTTCGAAACATTCTTTCATACAACATATAATTTACAAAAAAAACTAAAGTGAAAGAGTTAAATGACTCACCCTGTGTAATATATTATAAAATGTGTAACTAATTTTCGTGCACATCCACCACATACAACCGAAACCATGTGAACCAAAATAATAATTGAGCCGTTTATTTTGAAAGTGGCATAGGTCACTTTACCGTAATGAAAAGTGGTGATTTTTTAATGTTTATACGAAATTATTTATACTGAGAAAAATCTTCTCGAAAGTTAGCATCCATATTTTTAAACGTGTTAAAACGCAAACCCTTAAATATATCGACTTAAAAACAAAGTGACTTATGCCATTTTCAAAATAAACGGCTCAATTGTTACACAACGATTTCTTTCATATTGATTATAACAGTTATGGTCCCCGCTTCTCGATCGCTTGAACGATCAATTTGCAGCTGGTAACGAAATCCGACATTTCACGTGCCACGACCAAAACAGTATTTCTTGATCGAAACACGCGACAACATTGGCATTAGAAAATTGGAACGACCTCATAGTACACGGACAGGCCGCGCGAACCAGCGACGATGCCAATGCTTCTTTGATTCATTATAATCTCGTTCNTGAAAAGTGGTGATTTTTTAATGTTTATACGAAATTATTTATACTGAGAAAAATCTTCTCGAAAGTTAGCATCCATATTTTTAAACGTGTTAAAACGCAAACCCTTAAATATATCGACTTAAAAACAAAGTGACTTATGCCATTTTCAAAATAAACGGCTCAATTGTTACACAACGATTTCTTTCATATTGATTATAACAGTTATGGTCCCCGCTTCTCGATCGCTTGAACGATCAATTTGCAGCTGGTAACGAAATCCGACATTTCACGTGCCACGACCAAAACAGTATTTCTTGATCGAAACACGCGACAACATTGGCATTAGAAAATTGGAACGACCTCATAGTACACGGACAGGCCGCGCGAACCAGCGACGATGCCAATGCTTCTTTGATTCATTATAATCTCGTTCCTCTGTATCAGATGCCTAAGGAAACTGGTAGTGATAAAAGAAGCTCGTCAAGCGACGAATCAGAGGGCGAAGAACCGCGGCATCGAGCTGCTAAGGTTCGAGGACGTCGAGCGATTAGGCGCGCAAAAGAACCACCCCGAGATGCCGCCGAACGTGAACGATATCTGCACGATATGCTACACTTCCGGCACGACCGGAAACCCTAAAGGAGTGATGCTGACGCACCAGAACGTGATGGCCGGTGTATGCGCGGTTCTGCTGCAGCTGGGCGAGCACAAGCCCTCGAACAAGGACACGATGATCAGCTTCTTGCCTCTGGCACACATGTTGGAACGGTGCTGCGAAAACGGCATGTACATGGTGGGCGGGTCCGTGGGCTTTTACAGCGGTGACATCAAAACATTAGCCGAAGATATGAAAGCCTTGAGGCCTACCGTCATGCCAGCGGTCCCGAGGCTCTTGAATCGAATGTACGACAAGGTGAGTGCGGCTCTTGCGACATCCAACAGCCTTCCCAAACCGCTTGCTGCCCTCCCTCGCTCTGTCGCCGATCTGTCCGACCACCTGGTGTGCGAATATTCTCGCAGGGGAGTCGGAGCACTTCCTCTGGCCATGGTCGCTAGAGAAATAAACACGATCCGATGCCGTTCGACTGTTTACTAAAAGACGGATTTGAATGGGAAATCCTTGTGCAAAATACAAATTTTCTTATTAACAGAGTCGGTCCCATTTTAATCGTTATGCCATTGGCAATATGCTATAACGTGTTTCAAAATTATTTTCACGCTGCTAAATTCTGTTGCATTTAAAACATCGTTAAAAATGTAAACGTTGCATGGCCTAGAAAGCTCAATGTTATACGCTTAACATGAAATAAAAATCATGTAAGATTCAAATACTGCGGGTCGAAAGGAATGTCTTTGTTCTGGAGTTAAAATAACGACGATTTCATCAACAAATTACTCAATTATCGACGAATAAATTAAATAAGCTACAGTTACAATGGAGACAACATAACTGTGAAGCTTGCAAACAATATTTCTAAAAATATGATTTGAGAAATTAATGAATAAAGCTGAGAATGGTCGCAAACATCAATTGTATTGATGTGAATATGGTCCATCAGCCGAGATATACAGGGTGCCCCAAAAGGTAGGTACTTGATTCCGTGGAAGGTGTGATTCCTGAGATTATTTGAAGTAACTCTGCTATCGTCAGCCACAATACCGATGCATTTCGCTATAATACGCTATAATAAACCGTCAAATAACACTAGAAACTATTATAGTATTTTGGTTACTTTAACACTAGGTTCACGAGACCCACGAAAATGACGGATTGCAAAATTTCTCGCGAGACGACCGAGCCAATGAGCGGAACTGGGAAAGAAATGTCTATGTAGCTTCTGTATCTTGTAAATAATGCAGACAATTTTTATTTTGCATAAAAATCCGCAGTTTAATTATTAGGTCGTCCCATAAGGGTTCTTAAGGTCGTTAGAAGTAACTTTCCACTTTGCGAAAATGTTCTCCATAGCTTCAGTAACGAGTTATTAACGAAACACACTGACCAATGAGAGGCGAGCTCGATTGCCGCGAGGCGGTCGAGCCAATGGGTGGAACTGGGCTTCGTCCGTTTGTTGACTCAGCCGCCTCGCGCCAGTCGAGCTCACCTCTCATTGGTCAGTGTTTTTCGTTAAGAACTCGGTAACATAATCATGAAGAACATTTTCGCTAAGAAAAAGTTCACTTTAAATGACCTCAGGAACCTCTCACATTTCTCGATTGCGACTGATTTTTGGGACACTCTATGTATAGTATCTATGGACAGATAATTTTAAGATTTTCAAAGTTTTAGTCATAAAACAGATTATGAATTACGTCCTCATCTAACACAGGCTGAAGCCTAGAACGTGGTTGGTTTTTCAAGATCGAAATTTTCTTTACGAAATCAATGCAACCATCTTTTATTCTAACGGAGCGATAAAACCACTTCGCCGTAAACGACGGCAACTGTTACTGCGGCATTCTCTTTGCGAAACTCGGACATCATAAGATGCCGATGTTACGAACTTTTTTAACGTGAACTTTTTTCTATGAGTCAATGCTAGTTTTACCAGAGGTGTCAAAAGACACCTATCAATCATTTATATTTAACACTATTTTTATCAAAGGGATTAATGGACATCTTTCAATAATTTTAAATAGAAGTTATTTCCTGTGTTCTATGTTTTCTATGTAATCACTGCTCGACTTTTGTTATAGTCATTACAAAATTAATTCGATCAGTTGTATAACACAGGATATTGGTAAAAATAGTGTTAAGAACGCAGACAATTTCCCCTTTTCAACGACATTTCAAAACCTGGTGTAAAACTTTATTTCGTCGTTCTACTTTTTTATATTTTGCACTCCAAATTTACCTTTTAGCAAATTACTTTCAACATTAATTTTCAAAATCAAATTGTCGATGTTTATTTGTCTTAATGTGTACTCCAAATTGTATATTGCATTAAAATTATAGTAAATTGAAAACAAAATTTTTAAAAAGAATCATATGTAACCGTTGAGCATATGTGAACCTATTTTTACTAAAATTTGTACCAAAATTTTGTACCAGAATTTTTATGCAAAATGAAAATTGTCTGCATAAATTGCAACAAGTTGTTATTGCACAGAGATCTATTTTTTTCTTTTATTAACTTGAAAAAATTTGCAAAGAATATAGTAGAATCTTTAAATTCTGCTGAAGTTTTCACTAACTGTAAAAATACTGATACAGTGACTGCATTGTTAATCGATGAAATCGAGGAAAGCCAACACACGACGACTTGTAACATTATAGATATAGATACAACCAGATGGCCTAACTTCTGGTTCCCAATAGCATAGCCAGAAGACGGTTACTGCAAACATTGTTACTTCATACTATTCGCGTTTGCGCCGATCTGACATTAATACTTCAAGAAAATTACTACCCTATAAAGATTGTAGCAACAGCTTTATAATTAATTAAATTTTAATTTTAATGATAGCTCATTATCGCATCCACGATTACTTATTTATTATCACAATAATTAAAAAACGGATTTTCTGCATTTATAACAAAAACAAGTAGATGAAATTTAAAGCATTAGAAAATTCAAAAATCGTATAAAAAACATATCTTCTTTAACTTTTTTCAAATTAGTAAAATTTCTATTTGGTTTCTAGTTTTCGAAATTAATTTAACACCACGGCGATGTTTGAGTCAATTTTGGCCGAGAATATGAAAATTTTTATTTGACTGACTGATTTTTCACAGCTATTTAAAATGTTCACGTGTTTTATTAAGATCAGTTATGTGTTCATCAAAAAGGTCAGCTATTCGAGTATTAAAAGAGACACCTCTGATGAAAAAGTCATAAAGATCCGTAGTCTAATTATAGTAAACCCTTAATCTCTTCCTGACCAATGTTATTAGTATCATTCTATTCAGTCGATTCTCATATATAGTTCAGTACATGGAGTTCGGCCAATTATTCCTCAAAATTAGAATAAAAACAGGAGAAATATTTCGATAATATGAATAATCCAATTGAAATCTTACGTGCGACACATTGGCAATACGTTTCGCGAAAAATCATAGCTTCAAATTATAGTACGACTGTCTCGTATAAAATATTTCACGTAATTTTAAATAACAGTAATAAGACAATATCAAACATTACAAATAAATAGGCAATTTAGTTTTCGAATACGCATACAACACAAAATATGACATAGACATCTTAAAGATTATTCATAATTAAACTACGACGGATCAGTTATTATTTGGCATTAAATATTTTTGGTAATCGAAAAGTAAATTTCAGTAATTTTGTAATGTAAGTTACTGAACACATATCGTAAACACGAATGAGATATGCATAATTATAGAATTACACAGAAAAATTCGTTTCAAATGATTCATTTATCGTTAGATTTCGCAAAAATCCGACCGTCGTACATTGTGGATATTCTGTCGAAGGCGTCGCCGAGGGGCGAGATATTTTTGCGCTCGTACGACGTGACAAAGTGCAAGGTTGCAGGGTGTTAAGTAATTTTTGCGGCGTGCAATCTATTAAGAATCGAATTTCTTGAAGATCGTGCAACGTCTAAACACATCGTTTCGCTTCGTTTGTCAAAATTAATTTGATGGACCCCTCTGCTGTCTCGGATGATGCTGTTGACGGACAGTTGCATTAGCCAAATCAACACATTTGTAAACATAGGGCGCATTCAGCAACACCTTCGTGTCTGCAGAACGTATTCCTGAAGTTCTTACCGCATCCACAGATGTAGAAATAACTTTTGTATTCATTTAGAATTATTATACTTAATTATTATACATATAGTACATATTATACTATATATTATTATATAATATATTATTATATATTATATTATACTATATATTATTATATAATATATTATTATATATTATATTATTATATAATATATTATTATATTATTATAGGGGTACCCATAAGTAATCAATTGTTTTCCCAAGACCTTATTTCTCATTAATTCTGTGACAACCGGATAAGTATAAGCACAAATTTTGTTGTTGTTATTCTTCAACCAATTTTTTAGTAATTTATTCCTAATAATATCATTTTTTATTAGGGGGTTATTAAACCCTGCAACAAAATGGCGAACTTTGTACCTTCTGAAAGCCATATTCGTAATTGTGTACTTTTTCATTTTCACGTTGGATTTAGTGCAACAGATACAACAAGGAAAATTTGTGATACATATAGAGATGTGTTGAAAGTGAACAAATGTCAACGTTGGTTCAGAAGATTTACTGCTAGTGATTACGAGACAAGCATCGGAGTGTCAACGTTGGTTCAGAAAATTTACTGCTAGTGATTATGAGACAAGCATCGAAGTGGACGGCCAATTCAATTCGATAATGATGCCTTAAAATCTCTAGTGGAGTCCAATCCAAGGTTACGTATACAGGAATTATCAAGAAGCCATAGGGTCCACATGGTCTACCATTCAAAGACACCTAAATGAAATTGGCAAGGTATATAGACAATATTGGTCTCACCTGTTATGTGAGACCAATAAAGATAATACCCGACCTCATGCAGCGAAACTCACTTAAGAAAAAATTAAACAGTTAGGCTGGGAAGTTCTACCGCACCCTCCATACTTCCCAGACATCGCACCGTCGGACTATCATTTATTTAGGTCTCTGGAGCATTCGCTACGTAATAAAACCTTTAATTATTTAGCCGATGTTAGAACACACCTTGAATCTTATCTTGAGTCACGTCCGCCATACTTTTACAAAAGGGGGAATGAAATTTTGCTGAAACGATGGCAACAAGTTATCGATAATGACGGTGATTATAATATGAATATGAATATTATAATCGATTAAAAAATAAAAATGTTATTTAAACAAACAATTTCACCTATGAATGAAAGATAATTGATTACATATGGGTG